TCTTGACCAGAATGTGCAATTTATTCTTGCCATTCTCTTTCTTCCTGGATTTTAACAACTGTTACCCAAGTTCTCATTCCACCTTCCTCTTCTTTTAATGGTTCTTATTGCTTTCTTTTCACAAAAAATATGGGTCATTCCTTAAAACTTCAACCATTTTCCTCCACCTGTGCTGAATTGCCCTCACATGTAACAATTATTCCTATAGGTTTGCCAGTGTGGTCTCTATCCATTTATGACTTGTATTTTCATCTCTAATCCTAAGAGTTCATCAAAGCTTCAATTCAGCTGAGCTGACCATTACTGTCATGGTAAATGGCTCAACATGCTAAAAGTTACCTTTAGACAAGCTCCTCCTCCAAATCCAATACTCTCTGTTTATGGCATTAGTTTTCCCCATCACATAAATTAACTCTGAAGTATTTCTTGACTCATACCTCATAAGTATCCATCTATTTCCAGGTCCTGCCAATGTTCTAACACAATAGTTTTCATGTCTATCTTCCCTTTTCTTTCTACAGCTAGGGCCAAGTTTCACCTTTATTCCCTTGTTCTTCAACTAAGGGGTCTCTCTGATTTGAATCTTGCTCTCTAATCTCCTTGGCACATCACCATGATGTTCATCTCTCTCAGTAGTACTTCAGTTTATCACTTTAATGTTTGTTTCTCTCCCTCAGTAGTACCTCAATTGTATCGGTTTTATGCTTGACAGAATTTATAATATTAAAAGAATTTGGAGCAATCTAAATGTCCTACAATAAAGGAATTGCCCTCAAAGTAACAATTATTCCCAAGGACTGCAGTGTGTCCATAAAAGGAAATATTATGCAGTAATAAAAAGGGTGTTGAACAATAGTTAATAATGTAAAAATATTTATTATCTAATATCTTAAGTTAAAAAAATGTATACTGCATATATAATATAATGCCTACATAATATAATGCCTACATATACTACACAAATTCACAAATATTCCTGTTGATACATATACAAAAATTCATATAAAAAACAGTAAGAAAATACATTACAATGTTAATAGTGATTATTTTTAATGTGCTTAAATTTTGGATGTCCGTTTTCTTATTTTTAAACATATTTTCTGTATTCCAAAATGTTCTACAATGGCTATGTATTGCTTCTGTAATCAAAAAACAAAATCAATGTCATTTTACATTAGTTGGGAGCCACTTGACTTGAGAGTGAATTCCAAAATTTTCCCACTGTTATTATAGCATTTGCTTTATAAAAATAAATGATAGGTTGAATTAAATACTCGCTAGACTATATATACTTCAAAAACCAACGAGAACAAGTTAATGACTATTGTGTTTGTTAGTAATGGTGTCTTATTGTTAAAACATTGTGTTTGTTTAACCATGGTGTCTATGGTTAAAGTTGAATTTTAAAGTGTGTATGAAATATTATTTTAAAAGGTTTTAAGACAAAGACTAAAATTGGTTTCAGGAAAGTCATTATTAAATACTTTATAAAATATCCCTATAGGTTTTCAAAAAGCTATGAATTTATTGATCTCTCATAAGTATATACATTTTACCCATAAAAAAACTGGCCTTTAAAATAACCCAAATGAAAGCCCTTTATAGCAATGCATTGGTGGAAATAGTCACTGAATTCCTTTAAAAAATAATCTTATGCAAGATAAAAGAATGGTTCAACAAATGCAAATCAATAAATGTGATATACCACATTGATAGGATGAAGGATAAAAATTATATGATCATCTCAATAGATGCAGAAAAGGCATTTGACAAACCTTAATATCGTTTCATGTAAAAACTCTCAATGAACTTGGTATAGAATATACCTTAAAATAATAAAGGCCATATTTGACAAGCTCACAACTAACATCATACTTATTGATGAAAAGTTGGTAATGTTTCTTCTAAGATCAAGAACAAGACAAGGGTGCCCACTCTCATCATTTCTATTCAACATAGTACTGTAAGTCTTAGCCAGAGCAATTAGGCAAGAAAAAGAAATAAAAGGTATCCAAATTGGAAAGGAAGAAGTTTCTGTTTACAGATGACATGATCTTACATGTAGAATACTGTAAAAAACTCCACCAAAAATACTATTGAAATTAATAAATGAATTCTTTAAAGTTGTAGGATATAACATCAATATACAACTATCTGAAAAAGAAATTAAGAAAACAATCTCATTTACAATAGTAAATCAAAAATAATAAAATTGAAAATAATAAATACTTAGGAATAAGTTTAACCAGGGAGGTGAAAGATCTGTACACTGAAAACTACAAAATGGTGATGAAAGAAATTGAAGAAGATACAAATAAATGGAAATACATCTTGTGTTCATGGATTGGAAGAATTAATTTTGTTAAAATGTCCAAACTACCCAGAGAAATCCAAAGATTCAGTGCAAGAAGAACAAAGCTGGAAGCATCATACTTCTGGATTTCAAACTATATTACCAAGGCGTAGTAACCAAAGCAGTACGGTACTAACATAAAAAGACACATAGATCAATGGAACAGAATAGAGAGCCTAGAACAACCCATACTTTTATAGCTATTTATTTTCAACAAAGGCACCAAGGAATACAAAATGGTAAGGGACAGTCTCTTCAATAAATGGTGGTGGGAAAGCTGGATATCTACTTGCAAGAGAATAAAATTGGACTCTTATGTTACACCATACACAAAAGTTAATGTCTAAATGAAGTAAAGACTTAAATGTAAGACCTGAAACCATAAAACTCCTAAAAGAATACAAGGGTACACTCCTTAGTATTGTTCTTGGCAATGATTTTTGGATTTGACACCAAAAACAAAGACAACAAAAGCAAAAATAAACAAATGGGACTATATCAAACTAAAAAGTTTCTGCACAGCAAAGTAGATAATTAGCAAAATAAAACACAATCTACAGAATAGGAAAAAATATTTGCAAACTATGCATCTGATAAAGGTTGACTTCACAGATTGCAAGGACCTTGTCGGCTTATAATCTTTTTTTTTTTTAAATTTTTTTACGCCTACAGCACCTGGTTTTCCTAGGTGGTCTCCCATCCAAGTACTAACCAGGCTCGATCCTGCTTAGCTTCCAAGATTAGACAGGATCAGGCTTGTTCAGGGTAGCATGGCTGTAGACTAGATGAGAATTTTCTAATGGTGGATAACCATATATAAATTCTGGGAGAACATAATGTTAACTTAAAATGCACTTTTAAAACCCTAGGCAGGAAAGAAGCATCACATTTATATTATTTAATGAATTTTTAAAACTTTTTAATATATCAACAAGCCTGAATTGAATTCTTTTAAGAAATTTAATGAGTGGAAATATTTAAATAAACTGAAGTCTCTTTTATTGTATTTATGTTGTGTGTGTGTTTATATTGTTATATTAAGGACTGATATGATAGTAGCACTTGAAGATCAACCAACCAGTCTAGTATTACAAAAGAATAAGCTGGGTTTTATAAAGTACTACCCCCGCACACACATAGAAATATTAATATATGACAGTATTTTTTGTTTTATAATGTTAATATATAAAACATTGTCAGAGATACTGATTTTTAGGGTTTTCCCCAAAAGTATTAGGTTATAAAACATTTATATTGGGAAACAAATTTGCAGTTAAATATTGATGAACAATGCTCTTGAGAACACTAGTGTTTCCAATTACTAGAAATAAAATTACTACAAAAACAGGCCAAAGCCTCCCCAGCCCCAAAGTGAACAAAGAAATGGACAGATTTTACTAAATCTCAGATGCCATCAATTTCAAGTTGTATTATTTTAAGTACTACTAAAAAAGAAAACACACTGTTAAATATGACACACTACTGACTGTAAGATATATCCTGATTTAGAGATGTTCAAACGTGGAAAGTGTGCCACTTTGAATCAAAGAAATAAGACAATTCATTAAGTTTTTTAGAAATAACTTATAATGCAAAGGAGACAAAATCCTCAATCACTACTTCACTAAGAATTATTCTACTAGCACACCACAGTAATATTTACTTACACATGACTAATAGAGAATTTTCATTTTCAAGAATTCTCACATTTCCAAATGCATGTTTATATGGCTTACAAATACTGAGCTCCCAGATGACGCAATTTATCTTCCCTCTAAATGATGCTTTAAAGGTTACATACTGAGGTTACTCCATTAGCCACAATCAATATTTACTGCCAGTGCCGCTGGGGTACTTAACATGGGTTATCTCACTTAATCCTTGGAGCTAGCTTATAAAATATGTATCAGTATGATTCCCTTTATACAGGTGAGGAAACTGAGGCCAGGAGGCTAAGTGACTTAAACCAGGGTCACACTGCTAGCAGGTAGGAGAGGTGGGAACTCTGCCCTGTGCTGGCACCTCAGTGGTCCATTATCTAGGCTGGGAGTCACACCCAGCACCAAGCTGTTGCCAGGGATTTAACGGTTTTGATCTGTGAAAAGCCGTCTAGAACCTGAGAATCCTAACTTTATCGTTGAAATGATTCAAATCTTTTCCATTTCATTCATTCTCATGCATTCTACTTCATTCTTTCCATTCTATCTCTCATTCACTTATTCTGTACTCTCTGATGAGACCTCTCCAGAATCCCTCATGACAGGAGGCAATTTAGCTAAGTTTCCACTTTCCAGGGAGGCTCAAGACCAGCCTGCTCCGAGCCATCACCCCGTCTCAGGGCTTTCAGTCCAGTCCAGGTTCCGGCCGGAGGCGGGGACAGGAGGGGGGTGGGGTGGGGGGCGCAGTGGCCCAGCACAGTTTCTGGCATAGAGCAGATAAGAAAATGTTATTTGCGTTATTTATGGACTTCATACTCTCAGGCATAGTTTAAATGTATACTAGTCATCAAAATCAGCTGATTACTAGCAAAATAGTCAAGATAAAGAGAAAAAGCAAGCTTTAATTTGAATGACATGGGCCCATTTAAAAAAAATTTTATATGCACTGAGAAAAAGAGGAGGATACATATTTTTTAAAAATAGTATTTGCGCTGCCTTTGAGCCCCTGCTGTGCCTGCCCAGGCACATGGCGGGGGGGGGGTTGGGGGGTTGTCAGCCGACAGCTCCATTGCACATGCTTGCGCATAACTGAGGCCCTCTGTTCCCCTTTAAACCACAAACAAGGCAGCACCTCTCTTCCTAGGGTGGGTTTCCCCAGGAGGTTGTGAAAAAAAATCTTAGTATTAAACTTCTGATTGGCTGGAGTAAGAGGTAGCTTATATTTGATTTATAATTTTCTGTATTCTCTAGTATCTATAAACTATATAAATAATAACAAACTATAAATAAATATAAACTATAGGTAATCAAAGGAAATGCCCAAAACCACTTTAATGAACTTGTGTCTGGATCCTTAATCCCGAAGGCTTGTTACTTTTGAACTCTCATCTTTATTTAAAAAGCACCGAGTTCAAAATTGGCAGTTTTAACCAGTCCTGATAGACACAGAGATTTGCCTTGCTGGAAAATTCACTTTCGGACCCATACTTTCCTTTGGTTACAGGTAAACAGAAGAGGGGCCTTCCCTTCTCCAACTGATAACAGTCTCAAGAATGAAAACAAGTAAATAAAAACAGATCCCTGGACAGGAACGAATGAGAGCAAAGAAAGGTTACAGAGGCCTAAGCCAGGAGTTGGCTTCCCCTTGATGAGAAGGCGATCCAAACTGGCTCTGATGCCAGAGTTAGCCCTGAGGCCACGGGTAGGAGGTGGCAGTTTCCTGGCTTGAGAGGGACATGATCTAGCCACAGAATTCACTCGGCCTCTGGCTGATCATTTTAACAAAACTCTTATTGGTGGACTGGTCCAGAAAGAGACATTGGAGAATGATCTGGAAATATAAAGCAGTAGACCAAGCATAGGCCTGATAACTAGGGATTGGGTGGTCTCATGTCCAAAGCAGAGAAACTGAGAACTCAGACTGGTCATTTAATCTCTTGGGAAGATGTGATATCCATTCTATGACTACTATTTTATGTTTACCATTCTATGACTCTGAGTGATTTCCTGGCTCCAGTCTTGACTAACTTACCTGGACACGAGCCTGGAAAATTAGTCTACTTAGGTCTTGGCACCATGATCCAGGTGCCATATGCGCCATGCATGTGTTTCCCCTTTCACTTTTATACCTCCAAGTATATACCTATTTTCACTGGATAAAAGAGGGTCTACACAAAGAATCAGCCTCCCCATTCCTTAAATTTTTTCTTTTTGCCTAAAACTTTTTAAACCAATAATGTGAGATTCTGATCCAGGTAAGATGGGCTGAGTTTGATTTTTTATTGTCCCTCATGTATACTTTCTTAAAGTCTATAAATGCTTCTATATCTAAAAAACTTTAATGACCTTTAAAGAGAATTAAATCTAATACTCTTACAATTACTTCTAGATGGAGAAAAACAGTTGCTAAAGAAATGTCTGTTGACATTTGACATTTAGAAGGAATTTTCAGTTGGTTTCAGTTATAAGGAAAACAGCACCTACTCAAATTCTTTCATGCTGCTCTCAGCGCAGAATGAAATGTTTCAAAAAAGACCTGCTTGTCTGTTTTCCTGGCTCAGAAAACATTAGGTAAGTACTAAATTTTCAGCAGAAAGGCCTAGAGTTTTATCAAGGTGGAGGGAAAAAAAACAAACAAAAAACCCCCCAAAAAACCAGACCTGCCTTGTCACTTAGTTTGAGAAAAGCAGATGAAGTAGTTTAGGTACCTAACAGCTGAGTTTGTCCCTTGATCAATAAGGGAGAATTGCCAAAAACCAGGTGGGAAGGTGCTAGCTAGCAGGGAGGGAGCACACAACATCATTTGGGATGCGTTGGCAAGAGAACTGATTAATGGTCATGGAATGGAGTTATGGAGAGGTCAATGGGTGGGTCCTGAGGGTCTAGGTGGCAGAGGGAAGACAAATTGGGGAAAAGTGAACAATAAGAGAAGCAAAAAGAGCTGCAGGAAGAATCATGTGAACATCTGCAAGGGCAATCATCTTTTGGAAAAAGCTGTTCATTCTGTATGTTTCTTAGAGAATTACGACTGGAATGGCTGACAAGCTGAGTTGGAAGACGACATGGAATTCCTCCCATTTGTATGAAATTCACATCTGTTCAAGAGGGTAATTTTGACAATCATACCTTAACCCAAAAAACTTTACACCTATCACCTTTTCAGGCTTCTGAAAAATATACTGTAACTTTCCTTCATTGGTTGTATGACAATATAAAAAGTAACTTAAGGGCATCTCTGTCTAAAAAATGAGTCGCCTTAATATCATGTTAAGTGCTTATATACATGAATTCTCACAATAACCACTGATGCATATACTGTTGTTGTCCTTAGTTTAAATATAAACTGAGGCTCAGGCAGTTTAACTTGCTCAGATGGGGTTTGATCTTTGACTTAGTGCATGGGGTATTTTAGGAAAAGGTCATTTTTGGTACCATCAGGGAGAGATTCAAATACAAATATAACTTACAGTAGATCAAGAACATACTGGAATAGCTTTGAGGGAGACATAAAATGTCTTTCCATAGGTCACTAAACAAGATAAACTAGTCCTCAGATTACAAGACCTTCCAAATTCTCTTCCAATCCTGGAGTCTGTGTTTGCATTATGAGATGATTTACTTACAGAAGCCAATATTTTAAATGTAAAAAAAAAGCATTATGTTTCCACTGGAAAACATCAGGGATACCAGGAGGGGACAGGGCAAACCTGTTCCTCTACTTGGGATGGACAGCATTCCAGTCACCCTCCTCACCTCTTCGCCCCATGATCCCCTCTGGGGGGTCTTCTTGTGGCCTACTTACCACTGTCCATGGCTTTGTTTCTGCCATGCCCAACATGTGGGATATGGGGATATTCCCAACATGTGCAATACCTAATTTCCTCTTCCATTTCAATCCTACACTTAAGAACAAGTTTCAAAGTCCACATCTTACACAACACCTTCTCGATTAACCTTAACCTATAATGCTCTTACTAGTTCTTTTCAATCTTACATTCTTCTAGTCTTCTGACCCTATTAACTAGCACTTAATTATAGTTTTTTTACTTTCCTAATTGCTTTATGAAAATTGCTTTCCCAGAAAATTTGAGGTTTTTTTTCTATTTCAAAAATGGAGCACAAAGTTGGTCCTTAATTCATGCTTATCTGTTAATAGGCAACCAGTGGCAAAGTAATTGCCATCACAATCTCATTACTTAGAGATGATTCAATGGAGGCTGCTCTGAAGTTACTGGTATCAGTAGATATAGCCAGAGTATTAAAAAATAATAATAGCAAGCCTAACTTAATTTAGGATCTATTTCTAAAGTAACAGAACCATGGTCCCAAGAGTTTCAAATGAGAAAAGTGAGGGAGAAGGAAACTGGAGATGACATACTATTGCACAAAAGTGGTTATGTTGGCCCAAGAGGCTGATACTCCAACCTCCTTCTGTCCCCCACTGGAGTCTCGTGGCCATCCTTCTCTGCTATTCTGCATCACAGTTTGAATTCATTCCCCTGCCTACTGTTGCTGTGCCCTTTGAACAGTTCCAGCTCTCCCTGAAGGAACTGTGACATTTTAGTGGTGGGTGAGGCTACTCCTCTGTAAAAAGTGTATCTGTTGGGAGTGCAGTTTTTGGAAGAAAGACACTATTTAAAAAGAAGAACACTATTCCTTTGACAGCTCCACAGAATGGAGCAAATAAATAAGAAACAGCAAATCAGGTCTAATCTGCTATCAAGCTCTGACAGGCTCTGAAGTGCAGCCCCACGTTTTAAGCTGGTCACTATACTTTGCCATCACCAATTAATTCCACTGTTTCCATAGGACCACACTGGCTGTAACACAGTCAAGAAATACTTTTCATGGAATATGGAGAAGAAAGTATAATGAAGAGCAGGTTTATTGGAGAAGGGATTCTTTCAGAATGAAAGAATAGATGACACATTCTAAATGGAAAACTTTTGTAGTCATAAGTTGTAAGCGAGTATGAAAAGTGTTTTAGTAATGAGCCAAAATTTTGTGAAGCACAGCTAACACACACACACACACACACACACACACACACACACACACACACACACACACACACGTAGTTATCTACCCAGAAAATAAGGTAAGAGTCCCTGCCATAGTTAATTCAAGAGCACTAGAGACATGGTAAATAAATGACCTATTCAGAACTCCTAGGATTTATTAAACTAGAAATTATTTCAAACTAGGCAGTTTTACTAAGGTAGAGATACATCAGGGAAGAGACTCTCAGGCTTTTCCATAAGTTTGAACCTGATTCCTGAGTCTGTCCAGGATGAGAATGATTTCTGGGAAGAAAGTTCACAAGACACCTTTTTGTTTGAGTTTTCTCGTTACATTGTATAAACTTCTGAAATAACCTGATTTCTTTCAGATCACCTAATTTTGCTTCTTGTAAGGTGTGATACTTTTGGGGATATGTAATCAATGTGAAATCTTTCAATCCATCTTTTCTTTGCCTTTAGGGAGTTTAGCAGTAAAACTACTACTAAAGTGGAAAATGCCTGACATTGAAAAAGAATAGGCTCTTTTTATTTTGCTCATTGTAAAAAGAAGAAAATTAGTAATTATTGAGAATGAGTAAATTTTTTAAGGTTGTTTTTAGTACTCTAAGAAACAAACAAAACCCTTTTTCTTCTGTTTTACGAGTCTTGTACTTAATGCCATAGGTCTCCACATAGAGTGAGTAAAGCTTTTTTCTCTAAAGGTTAAAAGCATAGAACAAGAGAGATTAAATAGTTAGTTTATGAAGTTTAGGCTTTATGCCATCTGTTCTCTTCATTTATTACTTTAACTACTGTCACAAATAAAATCTGTTCAGCCAAGGGCAGGGTTTTCTCCAAATTCAAACTACGAAGGGGTCAGAGGGCAGACCAGATGAGAGGTAAAGAGTATGGAGTATCTGCCTAACGGCAGAGCCCTTAGGGCTGGTTCTTACAAGTAATCTGGGCTGAGTAAACGCCGTATTCCTGTAGTACGTGGCAAACGTGGGACGAATGTCACACTTATACTGTTGCTTTTTCAAAGTACAATGAGAAAGAGCTGTGCTCAGGTATGTGCGAAGAGCCTGCCACCTGACAGAGTAACCAAATTGAGGAATGGAGAGGTGTTTAT